CGATCGCGGTAATTGGGGATAGATGGTGGGCACAAGAGGCCGTAGAGGACGGGGATAAGATGTGCAATAAATTCTTATGTAGTTTGTGGCAAAAACGTAAAGAGCTCCCAAATGTGGGTGGTGTCTCTAGTAGGGGTAGGAACGGTGCTCCGTCTCGAAAGGGACGCGTGGTCAATGGTCAAATGACTACGGCAAGCAACAAATGAGTACGCCCCCCCCCCGAAGTTAGGAACACCTCGGGCTCCAACGCGTCCAAGGCGGCTATCGGTGAGACCGAACAAATTCAACTTTGAGACCGCACAATNCCACGTGCCGCGCATAGGTACGAGAGCCACCTGTCCGACATGCGGGCGCAGGTGGCCGCTCTCTACCGCGATCACGCCGACCGCGAGAAGGAGTTCGACGAGAAGCAGAAGGCGTCCAAGGCGGAGGCGGGCGTTCTGCGGGAGGAGAGGGACGCCCTCGCCGTGCGGGCGAGGCGGCTGCAGGAGGTCCTGGACGTGGAGGACGAGGCCGCGGACGACCCCACGGCGCCCCACAGGTCGGTTCGGTTGTGCGGATGTGTAACGTATGTAGAAGCCAGGAAGGTGGCGGACCCCTCCGGTGTACTCGTTCTGCGGGCGTGGGAGGTGTATTCTGCGCATCGAATTGTGGAGAGTGCGGGCAAGGGGGGCATAGTCGGCGTATTGAATATGACGAGAGTCACAACACGCCCCCCCCCCCCCNCCCCCCCCCCTCCCCCCCCTTCCCCAACCGGTGTAATTCATGAAGGGTCAAGCAGAAACAACAAGTTTGCGTGTACATAACATGAATGGTGTGCTGTTCTGGCTGAGGCGATGGGCGGGTTGCATGCTTCATGTGCTGGTGGTTCTTGCCGTAGGTGACATGACATGACGTACGATATCACACACCCTGCATCGATTTTCAAAGCCCGACTACACTCCAAGATGATACGTTGTCGTAAAGCGTGTTCGACGAGAGGGTTTCAACGCCGACATTTTTGGGACCGTTACTTTTTATCCTACAGAGTAATCGATCTCTGAAGATCGGTCAAGGGGGTGACTTGTGCAACCTAGGGTAAATAGGAGCGAGATAGGTTGTCAGTCGGATGTCTCGGCTTGTTCCGACGGAGATTCGACTCGACGTATCCTCCGTCTTATTTTGTACAAGGACGAAGCACGGGGCTGATTGTCCAATGGTTCTACCACCCCGCAACCGCTGAGCCTCCCCAATGTGCCCTCCCTCCTCCTCCTGCTCTTCTTGCTCCTGCTCATGCTCCTTTTGGAGCTGAGCCCGAGGCTTAAGGTCGTTGACGTTCTTTGCGTGGGGTGGAAGGGGGGAGGGGGGTGTACTCATAGTCGTGCATGCCGTAGTCGTTAGACCATTGACCTCGCATCCCTACAAAGCTGGGACGGAGCACGCCGGGTTCTCACCGGACCAGGCTCTCACATCTCACCAAGCGCGAAGCGCTGTGAGATATTCGGCGATGCATGAAGGGTGCGCTGCATCCTGCTAAGGGTGTTCGGCATCTTGTGCTTACTTCCTTGCGTACGGATGACAGCTGCGTATGACTTAATGTGTTTTCTGGTGCTTGCACTTCCTGAGACAGTTGTAATCACTGTGTAACTGCCTCGGGGGTGCTTGACCACTTTAACACAACGTGGTGCGATCATCCCCCTTGCGCGGAGTGAGGGTTCTCGACCCCGCACAACATGATGTACTCGACCACCACTATGGTTACCGCCAAAAAAAAAACGGAGGTAAAAAAAAAAAAACACCGGGAGGGGCGGCTTGTTTTACAACGTCGTTGCCAAGCGACGAAAACCCAACCTCGATGGCAAACACCGTGGGGTGGAAGGGGGGAGCGTAAATGTATTGCCAAGGGTTTCTGCCGACGAGGACACATGCGGCATCACACATGAGTGCTTGGTGTTGGGTTCTCGGTGTTGTCTTCTTCCGATGCATGAAGGGGCTGGGCCCTCCGGCTTCCGTTCCGTCGTCTCTGCGGCTTCCCCGCAGGGGGGAGGGGGCACGCGGAAGAGAAAGGGTGGGGGGGGAGAGGAGAGGCTGTCTCGTTAAAGCTGGGGACAGTTCACTGTTCAGTCGTGGTCGATGCTCACCGAATAACCGCGCGCACACACACGACGCCCAAAATGCTGAACCTGGCACAAGACCGTACGTGGTGTAGTACCGCGGTAATTCTTACCATATTCTTTCTAATGTTTTTTTTTCTGGCTTCTTCTGTTTTGATTTTTATCGTTTTTCTTGCCTGCTGGCACGTTCTTTTGGCGCAGAGCTCTCCGCGACCTGAGCCGTAAGGTTACCGTGTTGGAGGTCAACGAGGCGGTCATGGCGAGGAGGTTTGCCTCCGTCAAGGAGCAGCTTCAGGTGGGGATGGCCGTGTCGCTTGTTGGTTCTTGTGCACATTTCATTTGACCGTTGACTACGCACCACCTTGTTTCGAGACGGATTAAACGCGTCGAGGGCATTCGGACCCCACGAATGACCTTTTACAGAAGCCGAAATAATCGCATTGGACTAATCATCTGCTGACTAGTCTGCTGGTTTGATTTCGGGTTCTACTGTAGTTCCTGCTTCATTTGACTACGCATTATCCTGTTTGAGCAACGTCCTGCTCGACATTGTGGCGGTGATATTGGTGCTCATATCCTCAAGCGTGTGTGTTGGTTGCTGCTTCAGGTGGAGGCCGAGGCAAGGGCGGTGTCCGAGCGGGATTTCCTAGACATGTCGACAGCGGGCAAGACGAGGATACTGTACCTGGAGCAGTGGAAGGCCGGCGCGTCGGCGAGGTTGCTGCGGCTGCAGCAGAGGCTGGACGTCAGCGTCCCTGAACAGGTGATTATTTTCTTGGCTGCTTCCGTGATAGTACAGCAGTATGTTGGAGGAGTCTGCGATGGGGACGTGATAGCTCGCGCAACGGCGTTTGTCGCAGATGGGCTTGCGAAAAACGTGTTTGTGGTGGCAGCAACGTTTGCTGCAGGCCTGACTGTCGAAGTAGCGGCGGCGGAGGCGGCTTCCGGCAGTGTTCGTGTCACGCTAGGTCCTTCGACAACCCATTCCGCAACTCCGTCCGTCCGTCCGGCAGGATCTGGTGTGCACCAGGCGGGAGCTGGAGCAGCTCCAGGAAGAGTTCTTGGGGCTGCTGCACAGCAGTGCGGAGTCGAGGGTAGAGGTGAGTGTATCTCGATCGCAGCAACAACCCTGACGGCCTTCAAACCCACTTTCCAAGACATCCACCCAAACCTTGCGAGTTTGGGTGTGCATAGAAGGAGGCGCGCGCCCGGGGGGGGGGGGGGGGGGGGGGGNGGGGGGGGGGGGGGGGGGGGGGGGGGGGGGGGGGGGGGGGGGGGGGGGGGGGGTGGTCGCCTTCTATCCCCGACTTGACGTGTTTGTGGCGAGGAAAGGGGAGAAGAAGTGGTAGGTGGAAGAGCTTGCCGCGCTGCGTCGAATGGTTCGTTCGCGCTTCTTTGAAGTTCCTTCTTTACGAGGTACCCTCAGCGCAGTATTTTTGTTAGAGTTTGACTCGCCTCTATACCTTCCCGTCGCTAAACAACAGGTGTTCAGGGGGGAGGAAGGGCTACACAGAAAGGATCACACCCCTTTCCAAGAATTAGTACAGCAGCCCCCCTATTGATCGTACAGTCGTGATACCGGTTTTGCGGTCCACGTAGTGTCACAAAATGTCATGACTTGAGGACATCACCGCTAAACCGGGTTGTCGGTTAAATACCGTATATGACACAAGATAACACACCCCCTGGTCCGATTTTCAAAGCTCGATTACTCCACGACGAAGAGGATGCATAAGCGAAATGATACATTTTCGAAAAGCTATGAACGAGAGGGTTTCAACGCCGCCGTTTTCGGCGCTGTGACTGTTCCTGCAGTTGAGAAATCGAGCTTCGAAAATCGGTCAAGGGGGTGTGTTATCTTGTGTCATATACGCAAGTTTGACTAACGAGGTGCAGCCGTGCCACGATATTTTGGAAACGCTATCCCGCTAAAAAGGGAACCACTGAACCGACACTTGTATTAATTTTGCAGGGGAGTGGATGGGTGTGACGGCGCTTTTGCTCAGGCGGGGACGTGTGCTGCCAAATGGACAGGCTCACATCCTCCCACTCCCCTTCCTCTCCCTCCACACAGCAATGGTCCTGTGCATTTTCGTGTGCTAGCTCAAGAGGCTTCGCGACCTCTCCGACACGATGCCTTTGCAGATCTCGTTTTCTTTCCGAGGCATACTGATAGGAAACCACAATGTCGTCACCCTGTCCTCCCTTTCCCGGATCTCTCGGCCCCCCCATATTCTCTGTCCTCTCGAGGACGCGTGGTCAACGGTCGAACGACCAAGGCGTGCAAAACATGAGTAGCCCCCCCCCCTCCCCCCCATGGCCTAATGACTACGGCATGTACGGCGATGAGTACACCCCACCCCCCCCATGCCTTCGATCCTGCGTGCCTCCGTGTGCTGAGAAGGTCACCAAGCTGCGAGGGCTGCCCGAGCGAGTCCGGCAGCTGGAAGAAGAACTGTGTTCGGCGAGGACCAGCCTGGCCGCCGCTGAAGAGACCTCGCAGCAAGCCAACTTGAGGCTGGAGAAGGCTGACGCACGCGCAGAGGTATTTGCCCGTGGCAGTGGGGGATAAAATGTTATCTCGGCGAGGTCGTTTTGGCGACCATACTCAAGCCTTCACAACGTTCACCACCCCTATATACGAGAGGGCAGTTTCGCCTTATTTTCTGTTGCTCATGCGTATTTCCGGGGACCCTGTTGTGTAGTTCTTTCACACACACACACATCTCGCACCTCACCACGTCTCCCCCCGTGCCCTCCTTTGCGTTTCTTTCTTTCGGAAGGCTGCGGCGAAGGAGGCGAGCGCCCAGGTGGCCGCCGTCGCCGGCGGTGCTACGCAGGCGGACTTTTCCGGGCTCCTTGCGGAGGTCGCCAAGCACCAAGGTTGGTTAATCGCCGCTGCGCTCGCAATTTCTGTTGATGTTCCTCCTGCTCCTACTTTCTGTTTGTTGTTCTTGTTTCATGTACACTCCCACTAGCGCTGTTGCTCTAGTTCTGTCGTTGTTTTCTGTGTCGCTCACCCC